GATGTCTAAACTTGTTCACCCTGGTGTCCAGAGACAGAAAGCCTGCACGACCAATGCCACTGGTCGTTAAGGGAACGAATGGGAACGGCATCGGACTCACCCCTCGACCAGTCGAGTGTCAGCACAACAATGTTCCCAGGTCTGATTCGCCCAGCAGCCTTGGGCGTACATGCCCTCCGGGCGCCACCGAAAAACGTCGCTTCGACCGGTATCCAGGGGAGAACGAAGACCATGGTGGGTGCATGTCCTGCTGAACTGATGTTGTCGTGAGATCAATCAACCACACGAACTCGAAGCTTTTTTTTGGTAGTTTGTTGTTTGGATGCCCCATGTGTATGAACCAAGCTGGACACCCAAAAGGAACAAGCTTATGACATACGCGTCGTAGCTCATTTCGAGTTGCTTTGGAACATGGGAAGGTGGATCAAACTGCATGCCTCTTCTTCCCAAGTCTGAAACGGTCTCTAGATATCATTATGGGAACCAAAGTATGGTAAGCGCATGTAAGCACCACCCATATAAATATAATATAAATATAAAAGTATATCTACAGTATGCTGCATACACACTACTAGCAGCCCAAACTGGCTCTTGGTTCACACTGACGCATCAACATGAAGGGGCCTCATTTGAAGAAGGTGACAGAAACCCTTTGCCGAACCGCTCGCCCAGGTCTTAACCCATGGCTAGCCAGCCGGATGCTTGGATGCCTAGCGTACCAAAACCTGCACACACCACACCACACCACACCACCAGCGTTCACCGCTCGCGGTTTCGTGGTGCGACTCTCGTCGCACCTGCGCCGAACCGCGCCGCTCCGTCCGCCAGCGGGCCGGCCATGGGTCGGTCATCCACCGCCGGGCCGACGGGCGAAGTGGGGAGCGAGCTCGGTGTGAAACTGAGCGAAGTGGCGAATTCATGAGAGGACCATGATCAGGAAGGTGAAGCGAAGTTGAAGGAATGTTTCCGGATTTCAATGGAAACACCGTGGAAGATCAATTCAAAAACAGGTTTGAACACATATAAAAAGGCTCTCCACTGACTGGGTAGGAAGTCAATGCAGGTGTCTTTTGGTCTTCCTAATGGTCTTCCTTGGGGTGGGGATCACTGGATATGGATGAGTCATTGATGGAAAGAACAAACATTTGGAGACACGGATGATCTTTGTGCTGGACATGGATTGGTGCAATGGTGCAATGCATTTCACGATCCACACCCGCTCTACAAAGAACATCGTTTTGAAGGCCTTGAAGGACGCCCGTGTGCTTCTTCCGACGGAACATCGAACGGTATACCCCTTGTCTCACGAGACGAAGGCTTTTGTTGCATTTTATTGCGTCATTCGGACAGAACCCTATTAGGTTGGAGGCCATCGCTATCCGTTGCTCGAAGGAATTGGATTGTTCGAACGTTGCTTCATTTTTAGGCCTTGCTTATTATTGCCCTTCAAACATGTTGCAAACGCTGCAGGATCCGACTTGTGAGCAAAACGACGAAACCCGACCGAGATGAGATCCAAATCCGCGAAAAAGGGAGGTGGAAGAAAACAGGGATGGCGTCTTTACCCAAGTAACTAAGGTGTTTCTATGTGTTTCTCATTTGACTTTACACAATATGATGTAATCTCACTGGGTCAGTGACATAGGTTTGTGAGAGCTGCTCCCATCTCCTCTGTATTTGTCTCAATTATTATACCTTCCTCATGGACTATGCCCTGTACGGTTTGATCTCTGTTTTCCAAGACGAAGCCACAAACGCGGACCTCCGGTCGTCCGCAGTGCTGAACGTCGTTCTTCGAACGCGGCCCCCGGTAGTCTTTCCACCTGTTTTTCCCGCTTCGTCGTCCCAAGGGACAAGGATTGGCCGGAGCCTGGGGAAGAAAAACAGGGCCAACCTGAGGGCTGGCAAACACTCCGGTGACCTTCTTACTTCTCCTCTCCCACACGCAAGATCTCTCAACAGCGATCCAAACAAGCACAATGACAATATCCGAACTATATTCTTCCTTCAGCAAGTTGACTGGCAGCGGCTCCTCCAGAAACGCAGAAACCCAGTACCTTGGAGAGGCAGTCGCTTGGAGAGGGCTCCGGGCTCTGGAGCGGAGGTAGACGGAACCGTGGATATCTGTGGTTCACAGAAACCCATGGTATCCTGGAACCAAAAGGAAGCAAGGGAACCATGAAGAGGGATAGCTCACTCCCGGCAGTATTGGATGGTGTTTCTTTTGCGTCGAGTTCTTTTTTTCGGCAACAGGGACAGGGTACACCTGTGAGAAAGCATCACACCGAAGCACCCTGGTTTTTTCACAAAGGATCTAGAATGACAACACCCTCTGTAAGCACTTGTCACAAATATTAAAACATGGGGACTCTGCTTAGTGCAGGATGTCATCCATGAAATAGGTCTGCTCAGTAGGTCTGCGCAGGCCCGAAGACCCTGCGTCAGAACTTGATGTGCCTCAGTTGCCACTTACGACCGGGGCCAAGTAATGAAACAGCTGTGCATCTTTGGTCTCACAGGCCCATTGAAAGCTCTGCAAGCTAAACAAAGCTCCTCTGCACGGCTGGCTACTGCGCAGCTCTTGCACATGCCACCAGCCCCTGAAACTGTGATTGGCAGGCATGAAGATTAAGCTCCTTCTTGATTTGAGAAGGAACCCGGGCAAAGCACTGACTGTCAGCCTTGGGGAAATGGCAGCTGCTTGGTAGTTGGTACCGATGCTGGAACACTGTCTTTCTGCTGTTGCTAGAGTAGGTGAAACTTTTCCCACATCCGTCCCACCTCCCTAGGAACAGCGGATCCTGGGAATTGGTTTTCCCACGACTATATATATATATTATATGAACAGGTGGACATCAATGGTGCTTTCCATTTGCACGAAGACTCACAAAAACATGTCACGAGGACAACAACAGCCTCTTGGGAGGACAAACACGCCAATGCACTTATATAGGTTCCTTTTGCTATTAGGTTGGAGGCCATCGCTCTTAGGTTGGAGGCCATCGCTAGTAGGTTGGAGGCCATTGTGCTTGGTGACCCTCAGATGATCCCTGCAGCTTCGCCCGGGTGTCTGCTATGCCTAAGGGAATTTGCTATGCCACTGGCAGTGAGCAACTGGCTTGGTGGCTTTCAACAGGGTGGTATTCTCTTGGGCTTGAAAGGAAGGAACATGACACATCTGCAACAACCAACTAGTCAGTCCTGTCTGCAAAGACATTGTGTTCCACTTGTACAAATGTCTGCTTGCGCAATGACATTGAGACTCACCGGAACCTCAAACAGGACTGAGATTGCTAGGGTGCAAATGCTAGGGTGCAAATGCACCTCTTTGCATCCTTTTTAGTGTGCTGACCCGTCACATGCAAGGATCAATCACCTCTTCATAGGCCTCCCATCCGTCACTGTAGAGTTGCTGTTTCATGTTCTCCAAAACAGCGGTGGTTGTCAGTTGCTCATCTTTCAAATGCAGTGGCCAATTGCACACCTACACGATCCATTCAAGACGTGCAACGTCGGCAACAAACTGATAGTTTCACTTTTTGCTTCTGGTCACTGTCCACGTCAGCCTCAGCAAAAGAGTCCTAGAGCTTTTTACAGTAGAAAACCAATAAATTGACATCATTGACTCTCAGATACTTGCGGATACTTGCAGTGATATGAGGTGTCCTGATTTCACTCCAACTTAAGTGGCCCAGTTCGTGCCCAAATACCAAACTGTGTAAACACCGAAATGGTCGATCGACTGTCCGATACTGCCCGTCCTTGCTGATAATGTCAATTTGGGATTAACAATCGTTATACTATTCTCGGGAAAAAAACACACGTGTGTTGTTTTATCATATTGTTTGTTGATCTCTTGCCTTTCATTCATCCTTGGTGGCTTTCTAGTCCACACTTCTTTTCTTTATTCATGGGCATTTCATGGATTTGTTAATTAGAAATCATTGTTGGGAATGTGCGGTGGAAATCCCGTTGTGAAAACCGTGCAACAGCTATCAACTGCAATCCATAGATGCTGAACCGTAGAGGGTGAACCCCCCCTGAAGGCCCTGTAGCATGCATTCATGTGATCGTGCATAACATTGCATAACATAATATAAAGGTAAGGAATCTTTGGTTTGTTTACTTCGGAGTTCTTCAGGGGTCTTGCCTTTTTCAATCCAACACTGATCCCTCCCCAATACTCGCCTCCCTTGAATCAATACTGCTAGGAATCCTCTCCAATAATGCCCTCAAGTGTCCACACATGTTTCACTTTTGGGGAATGGGCCACCTCTTAATCAATCATAGAACCAATCCGTTTCTCATGGTTTAACTCCTCTCTTTCTCGGCCGAATGAAGCTCCAAGAAATGAACACCTGTCGACGCCGCAGTCCCACGAAACAATCACATGCCGAGACGTCCGAGCATCACACCCATCCAAATTCCGACTGTGGCGATGTCTTGTGTTTAAAAAGTTACCGACTGTCTTGTGGGTGCTGTGAAGAAGTTTTGGTTCCGCTCTCCAAGAAGTATCATATTGTATCATCTTATCAAATAATCATCATAGGTCCGCGAAACAAAACTAAACACCTACAGTAGGACCTTGCACTTACAACTTAAAATCCCCAAATGTTTTGTTTTATCATTGGGCCCAGTGGAAGCCCAAGTTACCTCTGCGCATCGCTACAGTCTTTTCGAACGCGTCTCAGAAGCATCGTTCGCAGGCAGCGTTGATCCTTCTTCACTGCCGGGTGTGACCAAACGGATTCTGCTCATGGCTCTGAGACTCTGACCTACCATCTCTTTGCCAAAAAGACTGACTGAGTTCCTTGCAAATCCTTTCATATTTGGATATATTTGGTAACCCTGTGGCACTGGACACGTTACTTGTGAATCTTCCTGGTGCTCTAAGAGCTTGCCGTGATCATTTAATAGCCAAGGCCACCCAGAGCCTGTGGCTGTCCATGCACAGATCGAGAGATGCTCACGTCGGGCGTCGTTTGCACCCAACAGAAACATCAAGACCTTAGAGTTGGCTCGATCGCGCCACCGACGAGTCCTGCTCGTGAGGCCCTCAAGTGAGGGATTAGACAAAAAGAAATGACAAACCTAGCTTTGTCTGTTTCTGTTTCTAATAGCGATGGCCTCCAACCTAATAGCGATGGCCTCCAACCTACCAGCGATGGCTTCCAACCTAATAGCAAACTATAAACGCTGCATTAAAATGATGATGTACAGTAAATCTCTTGTGTTGATCCCCGATCAAGCACATGGCAGAACAGTGCCTCCCCAAGTTCTACCCAGTTCCCAGTTTCACAAAAATAAGTTAAAAACCACCTGACTCATACAAAAGTGTTTAAGGATATGTCACCCCAAAACTGGTGCGGGAAATAAACGTGATTTGCGCTCGCCCTAGGGATCCAGTCGTTCCGTACCTCAGAAGGTACGACTGGACCCTCCTGGCACCTACATAACCGTGTCTCCAACCACCGAACCTGAGAAGGTAGTTGGATCCCTAGGGTTGGTCTATCAATCACAGCATCAAACTAGCTGAAGCCGCTGAAGCCTTTTCGATCCGATCAACCCAAAACGGTCTCAGCTATATGCAAACACTTCCAACGGCAATGCATACCAAAACACAGAGATTTCACACCAAACCCTACAAGTCCAGTCTGATCCAGTAAAACCTAGTCTTTTTACTTCCTTGAGTAGTGTTTTTGTAAAACCAACTCCAGTAAAATGAGGTCTTTGACCTGTAGGGAAACATATAGCAGTAGGACGGCGTCTAAACACAAATAACATCCTGTCTGACAGTGGGTTTTTGAATGCAGCTAATTTGTCTACCTGCTCAAAGACCTTACACCGATTCGACAGATGCTAATTACTTGACATCGCCCTGTTGGTTGCCCTCAGGCTCACAAGAAAACACTCAAAGGGTCACTTTGAAGTCTATACCTTCTTGAGAACTGAAGAAAGTCTATCCCTCAAGCCATCGGGAGCAAACGTCCTAGCTCCTCCTCACCCGTCCTCACCTCCACCTCAGATTGCTGGCCTCGACATGGGTTCCAAAGAGGATTCAAGAGCAGGAACCAGGGTTTTTCACTTGGCCGAAGGAATGTAGAGATCGCTATAGCCTTTAAATGTAACATTGAACTTCACCACATTTTGCAGTCAGCATAGGTAAAAGGCACAAAAGGCGCCTGTGTCCGTTCTGAGGCATGTAGCAAAAACGGGCGGCAAAATTTTATAACGGTCTAAGGAGGGTCTAGGTACATAATTATAGCAATGACGTCTCCTCCGACCTGTTTCTCTTCCCGCCTCGAGCCAGCCATCTAGGCTCAGCCGCCACCCTTCTTGAAACAACTGGTGTCCGCCTGGCACTTGAGAAGCACGGACATGACTACACGCGCACGCAGGTTTATGTATGCTTTGGGTGCGTGTGTGTGTGTGTGTGTCAACCCCTGTACCTAAGGGTTCCACCTCACCGTTTGCTGCTTGAAGTTTTTTCAGCAGGGGGTCGCTGGGGTTTCGTGCAGTCAGCG